TTGTGAGCTGCATGACCTTGGGCACTTTTCTTTCTTTCTTTTTTTTTTCAATTGTAAAATGGAACAATAATCATGGCACCATCACCAGGATGCCACACAGATTAAATGAGCCGTGTGGTGGAAAGCACTTAGCTCCACGCCTGGCACATATGTGATGGACGAGTGAGTGGTCAGTGTGGTCGGGGCTGCAGAAGGTCAAGGAAGGTAAGGACTGGAGATTTCCTCTAGGGTCACACAACAGAGGAGGCCCTGGGAGTCTGAAAAGAGCCATTTACAGGAATCATTAGGGACAGAAACTAGATTGCAAGGGATTGAAAGGACAAAATGTGAAAAGAGCAGAGACAATAAATGGAGATGGCTGTTTAAGGATGTTTGGCTATACGGGGGAAATAGATTTAATGGTCTCTGGTAGGCAACTGAGGTTGAGCAGTTTTGTTTTGTTTTTGCTTTGGTGGGGGTGGTTCCCAATTGAAAGAGACGATGTTAAGTAGAGAGTTAAAATATAGAAAAAAGGAGTAATCAGTTAGAGCTGTGGGTCTCAAAGTGTGGTCTCTCCCTCTAGGGCTTCCTGAGACGTTTCAGAGAGTCTGGGTGATCACAGCTGTTTTCATGATCATAACGCGATGTTACTTGCCTTTTTCACTGTGTGACTTTTGAATTGTCGGCACAAAAGCCGTGGTGGGTAGAGCTGCTGGCACGTTGGTGGGAATCAGGGGTCGGACTGTCCTAGCCGTGGTGGAACTCTTCACCATCACACCAGGAAAATCAGTGTCAGTTCCACTTAGGAAGGTCCTTGAGGAAGCACAAAAATTACTCATTGTATTAACTCTCGGCCCTGAGTGCAGGTCTATGTGATGTTCTACGTGACGAAATGAGCAGCATGCGTGAGCACTTCTGCCACAGATGGAGCATGGTGGTCATCTTCAGGACTGATGGAGGAGGGGGCTGAACCAGCCCCTTTGTTTATGGAATACTGTTTTTACTTTAAGGAATGGCTGATGCTATGGCTATTCAAGTGGAGTGATTGGCAAACATTTTCTTGGAAATGAGTAAATGAGCTTGTCACTTCTGGAAAAACTGACAAATTTGTTGCCAGAAATAATATTTGAGCTTTCAAGCAAAAATTATAATTTTGGAAAATTTGCCTTTTACCGTGAGGTTGACAGCTCTCAAAACCTTGATACTTTTCTGATGTGACTGGTGGTGATATTAATAAATATGATATTTTTGATATTATAAAGTAAAATGTGCCAACCCTTGGAAGAGCCACATCAGTCAATGAATGTTTTCCAAATGACTATGCATAATGTTAAAAATCATGCCTTATGAGTAGAAGACTAGTTCAAAGTAAAAAATAGATGAATAGAGTTTAAAGTAACAAGATATAGAAATTTATTAATATGCCTTCAGAATCCACATTGATGCTAACCTTTAAAAAAATGACCACTTACTGAGTTTTGGTGTACTATCAAAGAAAAACACCCACAGTGATCTGAAAAAGCTACTAAAATAGATTTCTCTTTTCCAGCTACATGTGTGTGTGGCAGGATTCTCTTCCCAAACAATCATTTCCCAGCAGATTGCACCGAGAAGCAGAAAGAGGAATCGGCTATCTTCTATTAAACCAGACATTAAAGAGAACTGCAAAAATGTAAAACAATGCTACTCTTCTCGCCAATTTTTTTGTTTTGGAGAATGTGAATATTTCTCTTTGAAAATTCAATTTAGTTACCATATACTGGGTTTATTATTGTTATTTTTAAATGAAATAAAACACTTTTAAAATTCTCTATTTCAGTTCACATAAACAAAAAGTTCATTCAAGAAGTTTCAATTGTAAAGGGCTCCTGAGATCAAAAAGTTTGATCAGAAAGGTAAGATTAGAGAATGGTACTGGAGGAGGCAGCAATGGGTGGGACCCAGACCAGGAGTGGAAGAATTCACCCAAGACACGCAGAGGGAGACTCTTCTCACAGGAAACAGATGAGGGGGAGAGGATTAGGCAGATGCCAAGACATTTTTAGGTTTGGTTGTGGAAATTCAAAGGATTTCTCATCTGAGGGCTTGTTTTCACTGTGATGTAGGGGCTGAGGTCATCCGTGGAAAGGGTGGAGAAACAGCAAGAAGGTGAGGAGGTTGAGGGACCCCTGGGGCAGGCAGCTTGGAGGGACCGGAGAACACCTGGCCAGAGCCATGAGGAGGGAAGACTGAGCAGCATGGGAAGCTGGGGTGGGGTGCACACTCCTGAACCAGGGTAAACCCTGTGCTCATTACCCTGCAAGCCATTCTGCAAGAGCATCCCATGCTATGAAGCAGCTGGTGTTACAGTATTTAGTTAATTTCTCATCAGTTTCATATTTCAGCCATCCAGAAATAGGACAATATCTCAGTCCTTCTCAGTCCACTGTTACCGTGTTAACAATTTTTATGTTTTACCATAGGTGACATAGACTGACTGTTTAACTTTTTTCTAGGTACCTCACAATGTCCTAAAATATTTGATTAGTTGCTTAGTCCACTCTTGATATTCTGATTTTATAAATGCACAGATTTAAAATTTTGCTTCCAATGTTGATTTTGAAATGTCAGCCTAGAAGACTGGACAATCGACAATCTTTCCATCTAATTTTAGCTTCATAGAGCCAACAACAATTTTGCTGGGAGGGGGATAGTTAAATGGATTTGTTTTCACTTTCTTTTTTTAAAGATATGCTATGGCCTACTGACTCACTGCGTGGCATAGTAAGGATCTGATGCAAGCAAAAAAATCAAAGCTGAAGTGAACAAATTTCAGTGGTTAAAGTGAACTCTTCAGGACCCAGATTCTAGGACTGGTTCATGTCCTCAACTATGTGATTTTGACAGGTGACAAACCTTTAAGACTTCAATCTCCCAACTATGGGAGCACTTGTTCTCCCTTCGCCAAAATTAAACGTTCAGAGGATTACACAGCACTCTAAAGTGTTTGAAGGGCTATATCCCCATGTTGGGCTGCAGTTGGGTCTAGTGATCGCAGCTGAAATCAAGGTGTTGAGAATTTCACATGTTCTGATACTGACGATCTCTGTCTCTAACATGCCAGGAGCCATAAGCCACTTGGTACAACACTTTTTCTATTCAAAATGTTGTGCACAATGAGAAGGGTGGTATGAGGTTTGCATACTTATTCTGTGAGCTCTGCTATGCGACGTGCTGTTGAAGGGTGTCATGCTGACATTACCAAGATGTCACAGGAGTCTTCCATTTACTCAGCAAGCTCTCATTTTTCAAATGGAATTATTAGCAATAATCATAAAGAAGAATTGTATTGCTCTTGAAAGTTTATAAAGTGATTTTCATATGCCCCTTTGGGTGATGATAAAGTCTTATACACAGAAAACTATTACAACAAATTATGAACTATATACTGAGTACATCGATAAAACAGTTTCAGACTTTGTTACAATGCTGTATTGTACCAAACACTCTCCATTATCAGTGGGAATCATAGTTCATTATGTCAGTATGTTCCTGGTTCACTAAATTGTTCTTTTAAAAGTCCCTCTCATTTGCAATGAAAATGTTACTTAAAAAAATAATCTAACCAGTTAGCAAGAATAGGATTCTGTGTTTATTAAAATACTTTAACAAATGATCCCCAAATTAGCCCATTTGCTTATAAACTATGAGTCTATTTTCAAAAGAAGAGCAAAGCATAAACTTCCCTTTAAGTCTTCTAGATAAATGGGAGAATATAAGAAAAGGTGCACTTATACCCTGATAGAATTCATATGCTTAAAAAGCAACCAACAGCCCCATAGTAGACAAAAATATACTAGTATTATTTTATATATATTATACATAATTATATATATTATGTATTTGTGTGTATATGTATGTATATGTCAGAGATGTAAATGTCATTTATTGTCATCATCCCCAAAGGGTTCCTGAGCCAGTGAGGAGATGACATCCAAGTCAGTTTCTTACTTTTTAATAAAATGTGCTGAGACATTTTGGATTAATCCATAAGGCAGAGTTTGTTTAGTATTGTTTCTGACTTCAGCTTGGAAATGTGGCCTTGGAATTATCTGTGTCTACATGAAGTTTATAAAATGGGGTCATTAATGTTGGTACTTCCCAATTCCCTAGATCTTTATTGCACAGCCCTGCACATACATTAACAATTTATTATTTCTTAATTCTTACCTGAACTAGAAAAGACTTACTATTTCATTTTTAAATGGGGAAATGCGATTAAGAATACATGGCTTTTTCAAGATTTGGAATGGGTAGGTTTCCTGGCTAACAAATCATATGCCCTTTTCATCACAAGCATCAACATCATCATTATTTATATTTATCAATTCTGTTGGAAAAGCACGTCTGCTAATATCATTCTATTTGAGCCTCATTCGCTTTGCTATTTATTCTACAATGTTTTTCAGTCTTTAGAAAGTGTCTTGGGTCTATTCTAGGTGCTGGGGATACAACAATGAATTATTAGGTGTCATGAATGACTAAGATTCCTGGAGCATTTCTCTGCTCTCATTTTGATTACAGACTACAGTGATGGAGTTAGACAAGCATGCTGGGGACAACTGTGTGATACAACTCAGGGAACCAAAGTACTATGCAAGCCCACATGAGGTGGTCCAAAACCAGAATGGGGTCAGGAGGGCACCCGGACTTAGCACCACTTTGCAAAAAGGGAGGAAAGAGATAATGTTCTGTTCTGTTTCATAGATGAAGACATAGGGTTCAGAAACATCAAATGGCTTACAGCCGTAAGAACTAAGTGATGGAGGTGAGACTGCCAGCTCTTAACCCTTCTCCTCCCACTGCACAACGGTGTCATCCCCAAAATTATTACTGTCCCCCCATCCTCATCCATCATCCTCATTACTGTCAGAAATTGAACAGGACATATATGGCCCACAACTTCAATTCACATCCAGAAAGACAGAGTAAACTAGCAACAAAACACCGGTGAACGAGCCAAACACATCCCCTAGTAGTACCTGCAGAGTGTTGCGTTGGTTCCATGGGTATCTCAAGTGACAAGAGCCCAGCTAGTTTGCAAAGGGCGGTTTCTCGGAGGAGACAGATGTTGAGGAGTGCTCAATGAACCAGAGAATCACGCGGCACGGAGAGAAGGGAAAGGGATTGAAGACAAAAGGATCACCTTAGCTGGCTCCTTAGAAGAGCCGACGAGGTGTGGCCATGGCGTGGTCCCCTGCAACAGGCATCCAGGCCAAGGGCTAGCTAAAGATAAGCACGTTCAGGTAAGGTGAACCCACTGAAGAGACCTGACACCTCTAAGAGGCCCTGTGAATTTCTTCACGGGCATGATTCTTCTGAGTGCACGAGAAGAGGAAGTACAGAGGTTAAGGAAAAGGGTGTGTGATCACCTAAGAAAGAAACAAGAGAAAGTTTTGCCTGAGTTATTAGAAGGGTCATCTGAGAAAATTCCCAAATAACTTGACTATTGAACGTTTATCACTTTTTTTTAATAATCGCAGATTATGACTATTTTTCTTCTCTTTTCTTGGAAAATATTCTGTTTCTAACATTATTCAAAAAGCATTTTTTTTAAACCTTCCTAGTTTTTTGGTCTCCTCCTCCTGTCAGGTCCCCTTACCCACAGAATTTAAAGCATCTTGCTCTTTCCCTAAAGCTGGGATTATCTTTCTTTGTTAAAAACATGAAGATTCTGAGGCTTTCTGTATAAGAGGTAATAATTGCCAAGATGTTGATGTGGCTCTTAATACGTTCCAATTTAATTTAAATTTTGGAAGAATTACTACTACAGACTACACTTCACTTATTGGCCATTTTAAGTATTTTGGTCCAACCCATTCGATCCCAAGGTTCTTTGCTTCCCAGAAAACTGATTTTCGACTGTGGATGTCTGAGCAACCTTTAAAACGGCCACCCAAACTCTGTCATAGTAGCTGGGGGGAGATAAGGGGTGAGAAGAGTATCCAGTTATCCAACCACATATCTGCTTTTTCGCACAAGCTTCAGATGAAATACAGTCACTCAATACAGTCCTTCTGTTTCTCTTCCCGTCCCTCCCTTTCCCTCTGCCCGTTTGCCGAGGGAAGGGAACCCTAAACCTTTTGGAACCCCGCCAGCAGCACCGAGAGAATCTCTGGACTATTTTCCCAGGGAATTCTGCCTTAAATGTCAGCAGAGTACGGCTCACCAGCCAAAGCAGAGTCCACCTGGACCTCAACCAAGGAAACCGTGCCTGCCATGACCAAACGGGGAAACCTGGGTCCGTGGGGCGTGGGGGCAGGAGTGCGACACAGCGAAAGGTCTCACGTCCATTGGGAAGACCCAGGCTTTCTCAGAGTCACCTCCCTGAGGAAGGGAAGCTACGTCAAACTTTTTGGGGGTCCCCTGCTGGGTTTTGTTATTTTCTTTTACTCTTTTGGGGGTGAGCTGTGTTTCCGGACACTACTCTGAATTACTGTAACAGGAAGGGAACACCTCTTTGAAAAGAGAACAAAGCTCTGTGAGAGCCCTTTGTGTGGTGGCTGCCAATGCTGCTGTTGTTTTGTTTTGTTTTGTTTTCAACAAACATACTGACATTTAAGTGCTCTGGGGGGAGTCACATCGCTTAGATTCAGGAAAAGCAAGGTAAGCTGTGTGAGTTGTGACCGAGTTTGCCCCTGCCAGCCTGGGGACACTTCCCTCCTGGGACTGAGGCATGCTGCCATTTTTGGTGCGTTTGTGTTAGTCTTCAATCTCTGAATGTATGAAGGAATATTAGCTCTGAGGGCCAGGGAGGGAAAAGGAGTCCACAGACCCCAAAGCTGTACATCAGCTCCAGAGGGAAACAGTATGACATAGTCGGTTACGAATTCAGGAGCCAAGTGCATCCATTGGCTACTTTTTGCTGAGGAACTTTTGTGATTTTCACTTACCCTTCTTTCATTTTTCTCGTAACTTACTGACCTACAACTTCACAAAGCTCTTCAACTAAAACCTCACAAGCTTGCCTGGCATATAAGACTGATTTTAAATCAACGTGCCATGCTACCAGCCTTTCCCTAAAGATGAGAGCATGGTACAGTAAGTCAAGATTTCCTCAATACATTGTTATTCCATCTTTAAATGCATCTAGACTCTTTTAAGGCTACCAAAGGGGGGAAAACTTTAGATTCCTAATCTCAATTGACTCTAGGCCCAGACCATTTCAAAACAATTCAGCTTAGAAGCTGCTACTCCTGTTCTCCAGGGCTCCCCACCTCAGAATGCTTCCACCATCATCACATGTGCAGTACAGCTGATTTCTTTATTAGTGTATCCTGCGTCGTTTGCCCCAGACAATCCTATTGGAAGTGTCTGTGCCTAGTTTAAAGAAAACCCAGGAAAGTAGCTGGTTATTTCACAGGAGCACTGTAGGAAGATCAATAACATCAACTCAAATACAGAAAGGATAAGAAGTAATACCTAATAAGAAAAACCAGCTCCGGTCGGCAAAGGGTTAACCCCTGGTCAAGTTCAAGCCGCTCTGCTGAGAGTACTAATAAAGCAGTAGGAGCTGGTGCCAATTAGGGTGGCCCTGCCCTCGATGGGAACAGCCATCCCTTAGGAACTGTCAACACATTCTCCCAGGGCCGTGATCAGCCAGCCAGAAGAAAGGGAAAGGGGCTGAGAAACGGTGGTGACCAAGTTCTGCTGGCACTTCGTAAAATGGTGACGGGAACTGCCGAGGGCAGTGGAGTGAATGCTAATGAGCTGAGCGCCGTTTCCAGGGACTGGACCTGAAAAATGTCCCCCCGGTGACCAGCAGCCCTCGGGAGGGCCGCTCGGGGTGAGTTCCTATGGATCCAACCACAGGTTTGATTTGCACGGAAGAAACTAGCCTTGCAGCCGGCCTTGCTCCTCGGGTTCAGAGGCCTCACAGGCACTTCTGACTCAATGTCAAGGTCAAGTTTTCAAATTTAAGAAAGAACAGAAAACATTTTGCATCTTCAAAAAAACTCATTCTCAAGTCTAAATGATAAATAGTTTTAAGCATCAACATGAAATATTTTAAGTGTTCTTTGTGGATTCACACAAATTCCCCATTCCCCTCTCATCAGAGCTTATTCTGACGTCAGGGGGCGTGTTTTTAAAAGGCCGAAACCCCTGATGGATAACCATCCGTGTGCGGCCACATTCTGAAGGATGCGAACTTAATCTTTGTTATCTGAGAATGCTTGAAACAGAAATAAAGAGCTCGTCTGAAATTCGCACTCAAAATATTAATTCCTTTTCCTCACAAGAGCCTTTCAGCCATTTCCAATTCTCAAGAACCCAAACGAGACAAGAAAACGAAAAACTGTAAATATGATGTGAAATGGAACTGTTTTCTTCTTCCCTCTCCTGCATGTCTTTATTGCCACATTTCATTCTGGAAAAAAAAAAAAAACTCTGATGTGAAAAGAGATGGTAGGCGGAGAGGCAGGGATGGGAGGGTCCCATGGGTAAACGCGAGTTACAATGACAGTTCCAGTTGTTGGGGAGAGCGGTGGACTCACAGATATTCATTATCTTATTAAAAAGTAATTATTTAATTATTACAAAATTAAAGAAGGTCACATATGTACCGCTGGTGAGAGCATTACACACCAAGGATTATTATTATTCCAATTCCATGTACTTGGGGTCCATTTAAAGAAAAAAAATTAATGAGATGGAGATGCAGACAGTAATTCTCAGACCTTCCAGAGTTCGCCCAACTCCTTAGCCAGGGATGCCTTTATGGGCACACAAACCTGTGCACCTCGAAGGGCCCCACACTTTGTTTAACGTCCCGCTGTTGCAATCTTGAAATTCCTAACAGTCTTTGAGCAAGGAGTCCTGTGTTCATTTTGCACTAGACCCCACAAATGATGTAGACAGTCTTGTCCCTAGGTTTCTAGATATTAAATTTACCTACATTTCCCCCAAATTGTGTGCCCACCCTACCTTGATATATTTAAAATTTGCTACTTCTTACCCAACAGTTGTTATCACAGGGGAGCACTCTGAAGCTGTCTTATTTCCTGTTATCCAAATCAGTGCTGCCCGGGCTACACAGGGACCTGCAGTTATCTGCTGTGCTGAAAAGTCTGCTTCTGAGATCAGAAACTTTAAATAGAGCCCACTGGATAGTCTGCCCCTCAAAGTCAAGGGCACTGCAGTCTGAATCTCCAATCATCTCAACTTTGGGATCATGCAGATCCATGCTTTAATATTTGTTCAATTTCAACTACACCCATAACCAAAAGAAGACAATGTCTCCACCGTTCTCTGTGGCGGGAAGAACTCACACAAAAATTTGGGGAAAGCCTCATTTTCCAGGATTACCAGCTAAAAAAACATAATGTGGGCAAGTGTTTTGTGTTCCTGAAATACCCTAGAGCGATCAGGTAGAGAAAGGCATTTCAAGTGCAAATATAACTCGATTGCCACATGGTGCAGAATCTTTCCACCCCTAGACTCCAAAAACCCAATCAGACAAGCGGCCGTAATCTGACTCCCAGCTCACTGGGAGCCGCGGGGCTGGCAATGAGGGCGGCACTCTGGCCAGGAGAGGCATGAGTGACAGACCCGCAGCGAGGCGGTGGGGGTAAGTCCTTCTCTGCCTTAAGAGAACAATGCTCAGGGCCAGAAGATGAAACTCTGACTCTTTTAGTACAGATGTGTGTGCCTTGTCGGGCAGAATCTAGGAGGAAACCACAGGGCAGGTGCGTGGTTCTTTCAGGGCTGAGTACTGGGCGTACTCATCAGAGAGGCAGAGGGAGGGCAGAAGAAAAGGGATGCTTTGTGGCAAAACCCTCCGTGCACTGGAGACCTGCGAAAGCACCAGAAAATCCCCCTGCGGAGGTCAGTCTAAGCTGTCGTATTTTTTTGTCAGAAAAATTACTTACCCGGGGGCTCAGGAGTGAATCCGGTTGGGGGTTCAGCTGGAAAGTAATGTGTCCGGCTCAGTACAACCCGGTCACATCAACAAACCCCCTTTGTTCTGGGGCAAAAGAAGCAAAACAAATGGTGTTGATCCATTTCCAGTGAGCATGAACCCTGAGGGAACGCTGATGAGAGGCAGAAAGAGGGGCCGTGGGAGACGCTGGGGCCAGAGGGACACATATGCCGCCGGAGGACCTTGGGGTTCGCGGCCGCCTGAGGGTCACTCTGCCCTGCAAAGAGATCAGATTTCATGGGTTTTCAAAGAAGGCTAAATGCACACCTAAGGACTATTTTTATCTGGGAATTTGGGGGCTTTGTTTTTTGGCTTTTGTTTTGTTTTTAATTTTTCTGGCTGATGAAAGTTTGAACCTGAAAGAGCAACTGAGTTTCTTAGACAGGGTCTCGCAGAGGGAGACAAGCACAGAGAATGAGCAGGGCAGGGGAGGGGGCTGTCCCCAGGGCCCACCCACCTGGCTTCCTTAGCTTCCTGCTCTGTCCTCTTCCTTCTTCCCAATAAGGCTGGCCGCAGAGGACCAGCACCTAACATAACACCTTGCCCTTTGCCGTCCCGGCTAAGCCGCGGGCTGCTGGTGAATTCAGAAGCCACCCTCAAGCTTCTTTCCAATTTGTGATTTCGAGTTTCTCCCCCGTTGGGGAGACTTTTCACCTCTCTCCCAGGGCACCCTCCCTGCCCTGTTCCAAGGGCTGTTTTTGTCTCTTTCCTTACTCTTCCTCTAGGGAGTGTGATGGCATTGTCTTCCCAGCTGGGGTTTTTCCTAATTATGTGATTCACTTAGAGGAGTTCACTTGGGCATTGGACCCTCGGGACAGGGCCGGCTGCTCCCTTCTACAGACACCTGGGCTTGGGCGGAAGGTGGGTTTCTCTCTCCAACTCTGAAGCAAAGCCCCGTATCAAACCAGGGGCTGAGCTGAGATCCTAAAGGTCAAGGCAGACGTCCCCTGGCCCCTTGCTGGCACAGCGTTTCCCCACCGCCCAGCCAGACCCGGGCTCCTGGGGACACTGAGCGATGGGCGAAGGGAGGGCCCACTCTCAGCAGTGTCCAAGGGAAAGCTGCCGTCGTGCCCATCTGTTAAAATACTTGGTTTTCTTGCCTAACCCTTTTCACAGTCCTTCGGGATGAGAGTCTCCGCTAAATGCTGTCCACACTCCTTTGCTCCCATGTCTGTCACAGGCTTAGGAAAAGGGCAAAGATCTCAACATGGGGGAACGGGGGTCGTTGCCCCCCGCCCCCACCAAAGAGAATCTTGGCCATTTCTTGACAGAATGAGCTGCTGGCATTAATATCTTCAAACCCCATCCCTTCTCAGCAGTAAAGATCCAGGACATTAAGAGCAAAGTAGACGGGAGGGAGAAAGGGTCACCGTCCCAAAGGCTGCGTGGCTGGTCCCCACCCGACCCTCACCCCCTCCCGCAACCCCGACACACACAAGCCCCCCTCCCCCCCAGGAAGAGGCACAAGCAGAAGAGAAGGCCATGAAGAAGACAGCAGAGAGAAACCGCTGTCCAGAGCCTTCTGTTTTGAGGCCCACGGCTCCCGGGCCACACCCCCTTGCACGCGGCCTCCCGCAGCTCTGCCCAGGTCGCTGTCACCCACAGTTGGCAGGCAGCGTGCCTGGGCGCTGCTGACACACACTGGCCGCCAGGATCCCTTTGGGAAGTTTTATCAGGGGTGGAGTCTCAGGCCCAGGAAGGGATGGTCCCTGAACTCGGCAAAAGCACCGCGGGGCCTGGATGCACTTTTCCGGGCGAGCTGCCAGGCGTACGCCTGGGACTACCGGTCGGGCTGGCGGGGCC